GCATAGCACCATTGTGGGGGTGGGACCATACAAATAAGGTGCCTGGAACCCTTGTAGGGGATTGGCTACTTTTGTCATCCCTCTAGGCTTGAAGGGAGCCAATCCCAGAGGCAGAGGGGGGCCTCACTATCATCAAGATGTAGAGCCAGGAGCGGAGCGTGTCCTTTGGACACAGTCCTTACAGAGAACCTCCTAGACCCAGGAGGCAGAACTGTTAACACTGAAGATGGCATGGGACTGGCAGGCTAGGCCTGCTGACCCAGAGTGAGACAGCTGAGTACCTTTGGGCATGAAGCTTGCTGGCAAGAGTGGGGTGCCTCTGGGCACCTGTCGGCAGAGCTAAAAACCTGTGATACCTTCCCGAGTGGGGCAGAGGCCGGGCTGAGGGCCAAGGGCTGAGGCCAGGAATGAGGTCTTGGTGGCAGAGGCCAGGCCCAGTGAACGCCTGGCAGCAGCAGGCCAAAGAAAAAACTATATCCTGAGTTGTTCCTGTTACTTCCAAGTTGGTAATTGTAACCTGTTACTTCCCTAATAAACCCCTAATCTTTAACTACGGTTTGTGAGTTCTGTGTGGCCACTGCAATGAGTTAGCGAACCCAGAAGAGAAGTAGAGTGCTGTGGGAGGGGATGGCTGGTGTCAGAATAGGTAAAAAGATTGGAGAGTGGAGGTATGCTTGACTTCCTCCTCCTCATAGGATTCAGCTTTGGGTTGACGCCGACCTTGATTCTCCTCTCTCCCCTTGAAGTTAGAGGAGGTTTGACGCCATCTCATTTTTACAGTTCAATATTTTCCTGAGAAATTTTCCATTTCACCCATATTTCCAAATTTGTATTAGTGTGGCCTGAGTTAAAAATGTTCTGCTTCCCTTTTCTTTTTTTAAATCTGTGCTTTCTCTCCTTTCTTTTTGTCTTGATTAGCTTCTCTGCCTCTCATCTGACTCTTCTAGAATTGGCAGATGCCATTAGAGGCCTACCTTTGTGATTTTCTTCCTTCTGCATTTTTGTCTGTTCTTCATTTTCTTGGTAATTCTTCAGTGCCTTAGCATAGATCTTTTATATTTTGTCCATATTTCTTCAGCAAGAGGATTGGTTTGAATTACATAGTCTACGATTACTGGAAGCAGAACTCCCACATCCTTCTCAGACTTTTTTTTTTTTTTAAAGGCAGCCTTCACAGAAATGTTGGGTGTGAAAAACATCCTCCTCAGTGGAGAAATCATACAATGTGTGAATCAATAGTACTGGAACTGACCTGACAGCAAAACTTTCATAAAATGTGTTTTTGTATAGTGAGGTTATCTAGATTTGTTTGGGGGTTAATTTCTGTTGATCCTTCCTACCATCCCTGTGAAAGTGAAATTAAACATGGTAGATGTGAAAAGAACGTTGTTCAGGTGACTAGCATTTCAAATCTTTAACACAGAAAGGAGTTCTAGGGTGGAGATGTATCAGTAATTCATCATCATAGATCTGACAGTGGAAAAACTCACAACTGACAGCGGGAATCAGATTTCAGAGGTTGGAGATAAAAGATATACGTGGAAAGGTAGGAGCCCTGTACAGCAGTTTGCTCTCTGGATAGACTCTGCCTTTGCCTCCCAGGTAATTTTAACCATGGGACAAGAGTCAGAGAACCTCAACATCAACAATCACCTGCACACACGTATAAACACATATACATTAGGATACAGAACTATATACATGTGATCAGTTTGTCTGTGTGACAGGCTGCCAGGACCCAACTGATTCATTTGGATTCTCACATATTCTGTCAAGCAATGGTGTGGGGGTGGGGTGGGGGTGGAGGCTGGGAGGGTGCAATGAAGGATTGCGATGATATCCAAGCACATGCACCAAAGGTTGGGGGTGAGAAGAGAAGAAGGCATCCAAACTTCAGGAAGCAGAAGGCCCGGAAAATGGTTCTGGATCCAAGGATTTCAGCAGTACAAGCTGCACCATGAGTAGACATAATTAATTTGCTGGCATAAAGCTTTTTTTGAAGTGCTATAGAACTCTCTTCCAGAGTAAAAAAAATGCCTTTTATTCTTTTGTTTTCCCAGCTCCTAGCAGTGTTCACTGAATATAAAAACAAGAAATGAATTAATCACTGTTTTACTAGAGGAAATTGTTGAATATATATTAGACAAGATATTTGACCTTTATGGCTATGTACAAAGTTAAATACCATAACCCCCTCTCTTATCCCAGTGTTTTATAATCAGCTTTTTCAAAAATCTTCCCAATAAATGACAGTTCTTGAAGCTGTGCAAAACTACCTTGGCTTTCTTTCTGGTGATGTCATTTTGCTGGATTGTATATTTGTAGTGTTTTAAAAATTGGATTAAATGTAAGACAATTAATCCTGACCAAAAAAAAAAAAAGTATCAATGCCTGTGTGGATTTATATAGTGTTACTAAGTCATGACAACATTCTATTATAGTATGTATATTTTAAAAGTGACAAATTAAAAAATTATCAATGACATTGAAATTAAGAATTTATATTTAATAATTACAACAAGACTGTTTTGGTAGACTTTTTTCACATAAAAATTTTTAATCATAAGCAAAGTCATTAACTATGAATTCAAACAATATAGTCAAAATATTTTACTTTAACTTAAGGCACTACATATAAATTTCTTTAAAGCATACTCATGACATTTTATTTACACACTATTTTAAAAATTGACAATCACACTTCCCATCTCATCTTTGTCCTTCATTTGCAGCTTTGTGTACTCACCATGAAGTAAGTCCTCCAAATAAAAGGAATTAAATGCAATTATCTTCAAAGCTTGCTAGATACAGGTAAGAGAGGGATCCACCCAAGAACAATGAAATGTACTTGTAATCCTTCAATGTTCCAAGAACTTTAATCTTCAAATACTTATACCAAGCCCAATGGAACAATAACACAAAGCCTATATAGTCAAAACATTCAAATACATTTTATTCTATTGCTGTTTATGAGAACTTGTACATTAATAATAGCAGCAGAACTGTCCATATAATATACTTCTTATTCTGAAAGCAGTCACCCACTGAATTAATAAGAAAACACCTAATCAAAAGTTTTCCTGTTACTTTTGACTGTTGTTGTCAGAAGCAACTGAATGTTTTCTGGAGCCAAATGCTTTCTACCACTCAGAAGCATAGCAGCGTATTAGTGCATTATTTAACAAAATACATATTGAAACCTTAATGGAAAAGGCTAGCTTTACCAAAAGATTTTCTCAGTGTACTATAAGAGTCAGTGGCTTGAACAGTATAAGTTTTTAAAGACACAAATGAATTAACACAAAGTTCAATATAATAATATATTAACTTCTCTTATCAAATACTATTTTCATCCCATCAACACATACATATAAAAGCAGTTTATCTCATTTAAAATAAATCTTTTAAGAATGAAATGAAAGACAAATAGGTAAATGTCTTTTGTTGAAAGGGTTAAGACACTGACAGGCCATCCCTTCTTATTCAATCACATATAAAGCCTACTCACAGGCTGGATGCCACAGATCTGAAACGCGTAACTACCAAACAAGCTGATGCAATCACTCAAATGCACACCACTGCAAAGACCAAGATCTACTCAATTAGTATAAAATATCCTGCTACTATTCAGGATACTTGAAATTACGTCCACTCTTCAAGGAAAAAAAAAAAGCTTTCAATGTGACAGTTCAATTCTGTTATTTTTTTAAATTAAAACTCAATTAGAAAGGAATTTTTCTATTCTTTCATTCAAATCATCTCTTAACCTTTAGGATAACCATTTTATGTGAGGGAAAAAAAATCAAATAATATTTGCCAAGAAGCAATTAGTCCTATTGGTTTTATTTCGTTTATTATGCTGTTCTTAATACAATCGACTCCTATGATCAGTAGTGTGAATTACTTACACAGGGTATGGAGAGGCCTCTCAAGGGCCCCAAATACAAATGGCATCGAAGACCAGGCTCTGGAAATTAGCAGTAACCCAAGAAGATGAATTAATGTTTCACTGGTATCGTTCTTCACCATCACAAATAATAAACATCTAACTATGCTGCATATTCACTGTACATTATTTTTGCACCTGCAAAACTGTGACCAAGTTTATTTAATATTGTTAAAGCTTTAAAGATCACACTATTAATACTAATTGCTTGTCTCAAGTCCTGAGTGGTTCCTGAACCCAATTATTCCCCTAACAGATAAAATCTGGTCTGTCGCAACTCAGTTTCTTCACGTTAATTTTTAATTATTAGAAGGTACCACCTAGCAAAGGTAGGATGATAGCTCTTCAAAATAAATCCTTGACTCTGAACAAGCATGTTAAAAGATACAGAGTGATTATTTCTGTGACCCAAAGACTGGAGAATAAAGCAGAGGCAGCACTCAGGCTACTGAATGCTAAGAGTTCTGAGTTTATTCTGCCCCTTAACATATGAATGACTGAAAAAGTCAAAAGATACACGTTCCATTTTCAACTTCCTATCTGCTCTAATGCCTAAAAAGTAAGGCAAAAAGGTCTCTCTTCCTCATTCTGACCTAAGCAAAACCAGATTTGTAATCAGGTAATAAATTCCTCTGCAGCACTTGGATACCTCTTGTTACAATAAACAACATGAGAAAGTTAAAAATCGTAAAGAAAATTCATGATTTTTTTTTTTAAACTATGATTTTAACTTGCATGAGGAGAAAATAAACAAATACGAAGAGCAAAAATAACCTTTCCTGAGAGCTGTGTTTTACAGGAATGTGAAAGCCCAACTACAACCCAATTCACCTTTGACTTCCTAAGTCAAGACATCTGCGAGTTTGCACACACGCAAATACACACAGCTAGATAACTTGCACAAAAGCATTAACCAAATGCCTTCAGCACTTTTCTCTATTCTGAATTTCTTATTAGCAACTATCTTCAAAAGATAAAACTTTAAGATTTCAACAGCTTATGTGTCTTAAAAAAGACACAATGGTAACAACTGAGTCTTTATATCACAGTCTTATTTTTTTTTTAAATAGCTTTCCTTAAAATAATTTATTCATATGCTAAATTGCTTCCACTTGGTTAACCAATTTAATTAACCATTACAGAGAATTTCCTACCTCAAGTGTTTACTTGGGATACAAATTCTAGTAAATGTAAATATAAAAATATAGGAAACATTTCTTCCCTGATACACAAAATTCAAGAATTGTATTTTAAGGATTTCTGTTCTTTCATTTACAAATATACAAATTTATTAGAAATACATGCCTACTAAATTCTGGTATAGTCTTGTTTAAAGATGTATCACATCTACATCACACAAAACATACAAAAAAGCAGGAGTATTTTTCTCAAAAGATGTTTCTAGTTAGAGAAATAGATTGTGTTAACCATGAGCAATTTTAACTATGGTCAGTTATTTATATTGGCTAATGTGCCAAAACAAAATAAAAAACAAAAAATTTCAGCATGCTTGGTCTAACTGGTCTTTTAAAATAACTTTTCACAGTTATAACACCATTGCTTGGGTGTATCCTTAGTTTTGTGACTAACTGAAGACACTATAAAAAACCCCAGCACATGTTACCCAATTAAAGGATCATCATCATCATCATCTTGTAATTGAAGTCGGGAAAATGAATGTGGTACAGACAGTCTATTCTTCATGATTATTATGAGGCACGTTAGAGTGGTTAACACCAAAAGCACACCGATAACAATTCCAATGGTTTCTGGGAGATTAATGCACCACTGGTCAACTAACAAACACCTAGTATTACTAAAGGTTCCATTATTGGGGCGTGGTTTTAATCCCAGGATGTGGCACATCATTGGATAAATATCCACACTGTTAATTGTGCTGTGCTTGTAGCCTTTGTGAAATGCAGGACCGTGGGCAGCTAAAAACGGATGCATACTAGGCAATGAATTATCATAACCATGGTCACCTACTGAAAAAGAAAAAACGATGTTAGTAAACAAGATCAGAGTTTCTGTCACAAAATAACTTATTTCTAGTCCCTAGGCAGTACAAATGGTTAACACACTTAGCTGCTAACTAAAAGTTTGGCAGTTCAAGTCCCCCTAGAGGTGCCCTGGAAGAAAGGCCTGACAATCTACTTCTGAAAAATCAATCAGCCATTGAAAACGCTATGGAGCACAGCTCTACTCTGACTCACATGGGGTTGCCATGAGCTGGAATCAACTCAACAATGGATAACAGGTTCGTAGGTAGTGCGAACAGTTTGAGCTTGACTACTAACCTAAAAGTTGGTAGCTTGATCCGACCCAGCAGTACCGTGGAAGAAAAGACCTAGTGATTACATTAAGATTACAGCCAAGAAAACCCTATGGAGCAGTTCTACTCTGTAACACGTGCGATCGCTGAGCTGGAACTGACTGGACGGCAACTAACAGCAACAACAAAGTGTTTCTTGCCAGTATAATCCCCACCCATTGAAATTCTGGTTAACTGAACCAGACAGAAATCGGAAAAAAAAATTTCTATATTCTTAAACTGGGCTATACTTCCTATTTCACATCCTTCTCTCCTCCTTATCCACCACTTTCCCAATCTTTCATGGCCTCAGGCTTTAACACTTGTTCTCAATCTAATGTACTTACCTTTCACCCCTAGCCCCACTTACTTCACTTGTCAATCTCCAGCACTGTTTGCAAAAGCCTGCTGCAAACAGCACTAGTGATAGCAAGAATGGTTTCCCCAGAAGTGAGTAAGAACAGTGAATGGGGAAGAAGTGAATCTGCAGTCTCACCTATTTCAACTACTCCTGTGACACAATATAAGAAACAAGATTACATAATGTTCTACCGGTTTACTGACAGCAGGGCCAGATAACTGAGAATGCTGCAGAAAGAATTCTAGTATTGAATATGACATCTAACCAGGTGACTCCAACTTGTAAGTCTAGTAAAAGTCAGACTCAAAGAAAAAACATGTGATAGTCCTTGATATAATTCCAATACCAGATTCCTAATCTTTAGCTTTATTTTAACAAATTTTGCCTTTTACTATATACTGGAGCCCTGCTGGCATAGTGGTTAAGAGCTCAGCTGCTAACCAAAAGGTCGGCAGTTCAAATCCACGAGGTGCTCCTTGGAAACCCTGTGGGGCAGTTCTACTCTGTCCTATAGGGTCGCTGTGAGTCGGAACCGACTTGACGGCACCTAAAAACAACAACAACAACTGTACACTAGTTACATTTAATAAGCTCCCATCTTTTATACTTAGTATAGGTCACTGAGTGATGAGTATATCAGTGTTTGTTATATTATTATCTGTATGCTTGAAATACTTCATAGTAAAAAGAGCACATGCCCAATAGGATAAAAAGGCAAATATAACACTACACATACATACTATTATTTCAATAATATAAACATATATATACACGTATATGTATGTATATGTATATATACACACATATACATATATACACCATTTATATACACACATATACATATATGCACATATATTACAGAAAAAAAGATGAGGGGAAAAATTCACAAATATGTTTGCATCTTTGCATTGTGGGAGTATAAATAGTTTTTGTTCTCTTTTCCATGCTTTTCTGTATTTTCCAGGTTTTCAACAATGAGTATATAAAATAACAGAAATGTAAATAATATATAAACTCCATTGACCCCTAGGTCTTATCTTTGCCTAATGCTTCTGATCTGCTATAAACCAGTGATTTGTAAACTACAGCCAAAGGCCCAAATTCAGCCTGCCACCTGTTTTTATAAACAAAATCTCATTGGAACATAGTCATGCTGATTATTTACATATAGTCTATGGCTGCTTTTGAACCATAAAGGCAGAACTGCGTAGGTGAGACAGAGACTAGCTGGTCCAAGAGCCTAAAATATTTACTATCTGGTTCTTTATAGAAAAAGTTTTCTGACCCCTGTTACAGACCACAAAATTAGATTTTTTAAAAAAGTATTCAAATTGAATATAAAACAAGGATAAGTAAATTCCAAATGAGGGAAGACCTGTAACACTCTTCTATAAATTTCCTCAGTTTTAGGAAAGCTTTTGATACATGTATTTTGTTTACTTGGTTGAGTTTTGTTTAATTTCTGGTATTGCCAGTGTTCTAAATACTTGTGGCATTCAGGTAAATGATTTCATCATTGAGAAATGACATAAGACTTCTTGGACAAATTTTTTTAACACACACACAAACAAAGCAATTTGAAGTAGCTAATCCCCTTTGAGGGCAGTGGTGGTTCAGTGGTAGAATTTTTGCCTTCCATTCAGTTCTCAGCCAATGTACCTCAAGCACAACCACCACTCATCTGTCATTGAAGGCTTCTGTGTTGCTATGATGCTGAACAGGTTTCAGCAAAGCTGCCAAACTAAGACAGACTAAGAAGAAAAGCCTGCTATAATCTGCTTCCAAAAATCAGCCAATGAAAACCCCATGGATCACTATGACCTGATCCCTGCACAGGGTCACCACGAGTCGGGGACCAACGTTAAGACAGTCAAGAACAACAATCCCCTTTTACTTTGTTTCTTTATTTCTCTTTTATTTTCTACAAATCAGGAGAACCAATTTTGAAAGTTACTGATAGTAACTGCAGTTGTGGTAAGAAAGTAAAACTACACTTTCACCCTAATTAATGGTCGACCAACCTTCCAACCTAAGGGTTAAATTTTAATTATAAACCACTATCGAATGAATACATGAAAATTATCTAGTCGAAAATTGAATATCATGTAAGCATCTCTAAATCAAAGCACTATGTTAACACAGTGTCACAATTGTGATTTATCCCTAGGATACAAAAGAAAGATCCTAAATAAATACTTACATTTTCTTAATGTTTTATTTTGCACAATTGTCCAGCCTTCATCAGCAACCAAAATAATAGGCTGAATGCGGTCATTATGTTGGTAATGAAATCTTGCAGGAATATCTTCCTTGAGATAAACGTTCATGTGAGGGTTACAGATTTTCAGTTTGTTATAAACCTCTGTTCTATCTGGAAAAAAAGAAACAGCAAAGAAGAAAAAGTCATGGTTGGCTGATAAGGAGACAAAAAAAAAAAAAAGGCTCTGAATAACTGGAAATAAATTCTGAACAATGACATTTACTAAGTCACTTTTTAATTCTTAAGAAACAGCAATAATAATTATGTGACAGTCTTGAGGACTGACTACACACGCATACACATGCACCTTTTTATATTTTATACACTCCACATACACACGCACAGGCATGCACACATATATCTCTTTTTCACTCTGGATTATCGCTGGTGGACTTTTATAGAAAGGGGACAATTTTCATGTCTAGCTTTCTAAGGAAACATAAACTTACTACAAAATCAGTAGAAGAAAGGTATATCTCACACAAAAATCCCAGATGTTTTTAAGGATATATATTCCCTCTTTCCATTAGTGTGAATAATTAAGAAATTTTATTTCAAAATGCAAAGAAATAATCACTTTGAACCCAAACCTTAATTCCCTAAAATTTGTAAACTATGGAAAAAAACACATAATCTCACTTTAAGTGGGTGTAATTGTATGTGATCCTGAACTACAAAAAGCCAGAAGCTCCATTATTTTACACAACTCCCCATCCTCAATTGCCCGATTCAAATAACAGCATTCTTAGGCTGAAAGTGTACTTACTTATTTTGGGAAGTATTGCAGCAACTGGGGAAACATCAATAAGAGTATAGCTTGTATGACTGATGCAGGTGTCCAAGTTTATCAGTCTTTCCTTAGAACACTGGGTCATCCCATGATCACTTGTTATGATCACATTAAGATTTTCCCACAATCCTAACACTTTGAGTTTATGGACTAGGTCACCAATATGATCATCTACTTCTTTCAACACTGTACGCATGTTTTCTTTATCTTCAGGTCCATATTTGTGGCCACCTGCATCTGGTTCTTCCCAATAGAGTGTTGCAAAGGTGACTGGTGGGTTCGAATTGCTCAGCCACATAGTAATATTATTTAGTCTCTCGTCAAATGACACTGAAGAGTTATAATTCATAAAATAGGAAGGTGTGGTATTGTGAATGAGTACATCAGTACCAGGCCACATAGCAGCAGCACTTGATCTGTTTCCCTGAAGTTGATTGGTCACCCAAATAGGTACTGCCTCATTCCACCAAAAAGGATCCTTGTCATTCAAGTCAGAAAAATGTTTCTTTGTGATTACATCATACATGGAGTTAGCCACAATGCCATGGCTTTCTTCATACAAGCCTGTGACAATACTGTAGTGGTTTGGAAATGTTTTTGTGATAAAAACATTTTTAACATGTTCTACCAAGACACCTTCTTTAATAAAATTCTGAAGATGAGGAAATTCATAGTTCTGTAGATAGTCAGCTCTGAAGCCATCAAAGGAAACCAGCAGTAACTTGGGTGGCAAGCTATAAGAAGAGTTACCTCTAAAACCAGTTATAAGTCCAGAAAATATAAGTATTATTAATAACTTCATCATGAACATGTTGAAGAAGAGCAATCAGTGTTCCTAAAAAACAAACAAACATAATTTGTAAGTAGTAATGACAGGGTCGCTATGAGTTGGAATCGACTCAAAGGCAAATGGGTTTGGCTTTTGTTTGGTTTAATGATATTTGATTTCGATTAAGTTTCAGAATTTTAGCTAACGGGAGAAGGGAATCAACATTTATAAGCATTTGAGATGCCAGCTTTCCTATATCAACTTAAAAATTAAACAATGTCATTTATTGAAAGATAACTGAATAAAGCTAAATTGGAAAAAATGAAAACTGCCTTTACTTGTCTAATTTTCTATTTATATATTTCCTATCCCATCCTTACACTCTGAAGGAAAAACAGGCCATTATTAGACTCCACATAAATACTCCTATTTGGCTTTCTGAGGTTCCAGAGAAAGATTATTTATCTAGTGTAATGACTGTTAGATGCTGGTGCCCTGATGTTGCTGTTAGATGCTGTTGCCATGCTGTTGCTGTTAGATGCTGTCGAGTTGGTTCCAACTCACAGCAACCCTATGTACAACAGAACAAAACACTGCCCAGTCCTGTGCCATCCTCACAATCATTGCTATGCTTGAGCCCATTGATGCAGCCACTGTGTTAATTCATCTTGTTGAAGGTCCTCCTCTTTTTCAATGATCCTCTACTTTACCAAGCATGATGTCCTTCTCCAGGGACTGGTCCCTCCTGATAACATGTCCAAAATACGTGAGGTGAAGTCTTGCCATCCTCATTTCCAAGGAGCATTCCCGCTGTACTTCTTCCAAGACAGATTTGATCGTTCTTCTCAGAGTCCATGGTATATTCAATACTCTTTGCCAACATCATAATTTAAAGATGTCAATTCTTCTTCAGTCTTCCTTATTCATTGTCCAGCTTTCACATGCATTATGAGGCGAATGAAAATACCTGGCTTGGGTCAGGCATGCTTTAGTCCTCAAAGTGACATCTTTGCTTTTTAATACTTTAAAAAGAGGTCTTTTGCAGCAGATTGGCCCAACGAAATGTGTCATTTGACTTCCTAACTGCTGCTTCCATGGGTGTTGATTGTGGATCCAAGCAAAATGAAATCCTTGACAACTTCAATCTTTTCTCCATTTATCATGATGTTGCTTATTGGTTCAGTCGTAAGAATTTTTTGTTTGTTTATGCTGACATGTAATCCATACTGAAGGCTGTAGTCTTTGACCTTCATCAGTAAGTGCTTCAAGTCCTCTTCACTTTCAGCAAGCAAAGTTGTGTCATCTGCATAGCACAGGCTGTTTATGAATCTTCCTCCAATTCTGATGCCTCATTCCTATTCGTACAGTCCAGCTTCTTGGATTATCTGCTCACCATACTGACTAAATCAGTATAGTTAAAGGATACAACTCTGATGCACACCTTTCCTGACTTTAAACCACACATATCCCCTTGTTCTGTTCAAACGACTGCCTCTTGGTCTATGTACAGGTTCTGCATAAGCACAATTAAGTGTTTTGAAATTTCGATTCTTCACAATGTTATCCATAATTTCTTATGATCGTCAAAGTTGCATGCCTTTGCACAATCAATAAAGCACAGGCAAACATCTTTCTGGTATTCTCTGCTTTCAGCCAAGATCCATCTGACATCAGCAATGATATCCCTCATTCCACGTCCTCTTCTGCATCCAGCTTGAATTTCTGGTAGCTCCCTGATGTACTGCTGTAACTGCTTTTGAATCGTTTTCAGCATACTTTTACTTGTGTGTGATATTAATATTGTTCGATAATTTCCGTATTCTGTTGGGTCACCTTTCTTTGAAATGGGCACAAATATGGATTTCTTCCAGCCAGCTGGCCAGGCAGCTGTCCTCCACCCTGCTTGACAGAGATGAGTGAGCATCTCTAGTGCTGCATCCGTTCATTGGAACATCTCAATTGGTATTCCATCAGTTCCGGAAGCCTTGTTTTTCACCAATGCCTTCAGTGCAGTTTGGACTTCTTCCTTCAGTACCATCAGTTCTTGATTATATGCTACCTCCTGAAATGGTTGAATGTCAACCAATTCCTTTTGGTATAGTGACTCTGTGTATTCCTTCCATCTTCTTTTGATGCTTCCTGCTTCGTTCAATATTTTCCCCATAGAATCCTTCAGTATTGCAATTGGAGGCTTGAATTTGTTCTTCAGTTGTTTCAGGTTGAGAAATGCCGAGTGTGTTCTCCCCTTTTGAATTTCTAACTCCAGGTCTTTGCACATTTCGTTGTAATACTTACCTTGTCTTCTTGTGCCGCCCTTTGAAATCTTCTGTTCAGCTCTTTTACTTCATCATTTATTCCACTCCTTGTAGCTACTCCACATTCAAGAGTAAGTTTTAGAGTCTCTTCTGACGTCTATTTTGGTCTTTTCTTTCTTTCTTATCTTTTTAATGACCTCATGCTTTCTTCATGTATGATATCCTTGATGTCATTCCACAACTCGTCTATAGTTTCGGTCATCAGTGTCCATGCGTCAAATCTACTCTTGAGATGGTCTCTAAATTCAGATGGGATATACTCAAGGTCGTATTTTGGGTCTCAAGGACTTCCTCTAATTTTCTTCAGTTTCCACCTGAACTTGCATATGAGCAATTGATGATCTGTTCCGCAATCAGCCCCTGGCCTTGTTCTGACTGATGATATTGAGCTTTTCCATCGTCTCTTTCCACAGATGTAATTTATTTAATTCCTGCGTATTCCATCTGGTGAGGTCCACATGCCTCTCTAGGGTGCCCTAGACTTTCCTTTAATCTACAGAAATAGGAGGTAGAAATTCTACCATATTTTCCCCCCACCAATTCTTACTGAAAAATATTACCATAAAAAAGAGTAAGAAATAAATGGTATTTTAGAAAATGTCCCACCTCCGTCTGTACCTGCCCCAATATTCACACAAGGCTGACAACAAATGACATGACCTTGTGGGGAGCTGGATGCCAGTACCTTCTGAAGAAATCCAATAGCTGTAGAGATGAATTTTATCACCACATCCTACTTAAAACTTCCTTTTACAGTTAAAGATATAACTATTCTCCCTAATATCCTAGGCTCAGAGCTATTCCTGATTCTTCCTTCTTTTTTTATTATCCATTGATTACAAAAGCAACTTTCCTCTAATAAATCTCCCTGCCTTCAGTCTCTACCTTCTTTGATCCCCAAGAAAATGGGATATTTGACTTAGGTGGAATGAATTGCCTTAGATGGACAGGACACTTTTCTCATTTTAACAGGAAAGAAGGAGCAAAGGATAGATAAGCTAACAGGTTTGAGGTGAAGGCAGCTGCTTTCTCTGTGCTGACGAAGTAGGATTAATTATTGAGAGGGAGTAGGGTGATGAAAGTTTCAGTTTTAGGAACATGGAGAATGTCTGAAACAGCCAATCTGAAGAATGACTACCAGGAAACTTTAGGATTGGTGGGCAATGATGACAGCTGGTAACAAGAATTTTTATAGTGACACTGTTGATTGATTTTCTCTAGCAATTTGGTGGCCCTGGCATAGGCATGAACAAACAGGCAGCTGATCCTACCCAGGCTTGAGATTCTACCAGATACTAAAGGATGAAGTTGAAGATACTGACAAAAGTGTGGCTGAAATCTGAGCGGCAACAACTAAACTGAAGCTGATATAGATGTGAGAAGTAGAGAAGGGTTTGGTCTAGAGGTTGTGATGAAGTCAAGTAACTGATGTTTTGAGAGTATTCTGTAGAAATTACAAGGATGCAGGGTTGTGATCAGAGTTAGGAGAGTGAATTCTTCATTTCAAAGTAATAAGACCCTAGGTACAGCCACAGGGTATGCACCTTGAGGTCCCAAACATGAGCAGCAGTGAGGCAAGTGTGCTGGTGGGATTGCTATGAGAATTAGAAGAAGGTATGTGAAGTTATCAGCACAGTGGGTCTGGCACACAGTCGGAGCTCAATATGTGCTAAATAGTAAATATGGTAAATATGAGTCATTTCTTATAGATTCATCTTTCTTCCAACTAGACTTTCTCTTTTTAAACATACCAGATAGATGATTTGTGTACTTGTAGTCATTCAAATACTTACTGATTGAAGCTGTCATTTCTCTTTCCTTTCCTCCCAGAACCACTGACTTAAATTTTTGAAGATAAAAGCCACAAGATCTTATTTATAAAGGATCTTTGGGTCTGGAAAATTCCTACCATTTTAACATGAGATGGGCTGCCTTCTGAGTGTGATGCATGACTGGCATTGCCCGGGCCTTTCTAAGAAACTAAACACAGTATAGAGTAACAAAATCAAACCATCTCTCCAAAGGAAAGAGCAACAATCCCTAATAACTAATGAGTGGTAAAAGAGACATATACCCCACAGACACAGTCCCAGTCATATGTCAGCAATTTAAGCTAGCAAGACAGTGGTGCTTTCATTTTCATTCAGTAGTTTGTGCCCTCTGACATAGAGTTTATGTACAACCCATCTCTTCCCTCAGACAGTCATAACTGGGCTTAGCTAGACAACACTATCATGCAAGCAGCTGCCTTAGGTTCCAGCAATCTTAGAACTTGTGTAAAGAGCATGCAGGTCTCCATGAAAGTTCGGAATGAGTAAATTCCCTGGTTTCTCTCCGGGTATAGCTACTTCCCCATACTCAAATACTTTTCCCTAATAATAGAGTAGATTTAAAACAGTAAATGACATAGTATTGATGATACAGTACTTTCTCAAGGGGAATTTAAACAAAAACATTCCTTATTTACTGCCCTGGCTCTTTCCCTGAATAACCCTTGTAAAATCCCAACCAATCCCATTGTCACATAGGTGTTCTGCTGGCAAGTCAAATCTGATATATGGCAACTGAATGCATTCTCTACACCTCCAAATTTGCCCTACTTCCTTAGTTCCTTAGTCCTCTAAAACAGCTTTACCATCCTCTCAGTCACACTGAAATTTCCCAAGCACACCATTAATTCTACCTTTACATCATCTGATACAGCAGAGTAGACCGTAAGACTCATTAATCATTGTTAAACGTACAATTGTCCAGTCTCTACATCTAGAATATTCTGATTTAGAACATAGGTATAGAGTAAAGAAGTCAGGAATCTGCATTTTTTTATAAGCATTTTTAACAGCTGCGCACTCTTTTCTGTCTTCACTGTTGGCATACTTCTTAAAGCCCTCAATACCTCCTGCCCAGAACACTACGGTTTTTAAACTGACCTTCCTACCTCTATCTCCTTCACCCTTCTTATCCAACATCTGCTGCGAACTTCATCTTCCTGGGCATAGCCCTGTTCATGACACTTCCCTAATCAAAAACATTTAAAGGGTCCCCTGCCTACACATGAAGTCCAAACACCTTGGTCTGGCATTCAAGCCCCTCCATCATCTAGGCTCAACGAGCATGCAAATTACTGTGAAATAACTACAGAAATAATCATCAAGCTTAATTTCCAGTTGCTATATTTCACTGTCACAATCTGTTTGAAATGTATTACAAAGCTACACAAAAGACAATCATCGATTATCTAAGTGACCTATAACAGCTCTTTAGTAATAGTTTGTGTTTCCAGAATATCCTAAAGTTACTTCCTACACATGCAGTCTTGCCCAGAAGACACATGAATGGGCAGAAAGCACATGAAAATATGCTCAACATCATTAGACACTAGGGAAATGCAAATCAAGATCACAATGAGATACCCTTCACACCCACTATTGTTGTTATTTGCCCTCCAGTTGGCCCTGACTCACAGTGACCCCATGTACAATGGAATGAAATGATGCCAGGTCCTGTACCATCCTCATGATTGATTGTAGACTGGACTGTTGTGATCCACAGGGTTTCACTGGCTGATTTTTGGAAGACTGCCAGGCCTTTCTTCCTAGTCTTAGTCTGGAAGCTCTGCTGAAATCTGTTCAGTATCATAGCAACACATAAGCCTCCACTGACAAGACAGGTGATGGATGCGCATGAGGTGCATTGCCCAGGAATCGAACCTCAGTCTCCCAAATGGATGGTGAGAATTCTACCACTGAACCAGAATTCTGTCATCAATGCCTTCACACCCACTAGGATGGCAATAACAAAAAAGATCATAACAAGTGTTGGTGAAGATGTGGAGAGATTGGAAATTTCATACTTTGTTGGTGGGAATGTAAAATGGTACAGCCACTCTGGAAAACAGTCTGGCAGTTCTTCAAGAAGTTAAATATAGGATCACCATATAACCCAGCAATTTCACTCCTAGTTACATACTCAAGAGAAATGAAAACATATGTCCACACAAAAACTTGCACATGAGTGTTCATAACAGCATTATTAACAATAGCCAAGAAATGGGAAGAACTCAGATGTCCATCAACTGATGGCTGGATAAATAAAATATGGTATATTCATACAATGGAATATCGTGCAGCAACAAAAGGGAATGCAGTAATGACACATGCTACAACATGGATAAACTTTGAGAACATTATGCTAAGTGAAAGAAGGTAGTCACAAAAGATCACCTATTATATGATTCCACTCATGTGAAATGTCTAGAGTAGGCAAATCTATAGAGACAGAAAACAGATCAGTGGTTGTCTGCGGCTGAGGAGGGTGAGGAAGGGAGGGAATGGGGAGTAATTGCCAATGATTATGAGGTTTCTTTTTGGGGTAATGAAAATGTTCTAAAATTGATTACAGGGAGTGCATAATTCTGAAACTGTACACATTAAGCAAGTGAATTGTATGGTATGTGAATTATATCTCAATAAAACAATTATATTTATTCAAAAAAAAAAAAAAGAAGAAGAGTAAAGGAAATGATCTTAAATGCATCGGAAATGCCCTGCCACAAAACAGGAAACAGTTTTGAGGTTTCATTTTATCTAAAAAATTATGTGAATTTTGTACTCTACTTCATAAAACAGACTTGTGTTTTTATGTGAAAATGTTTTATACCATTTTCCATATTCAAAACAAAACAAAAACTTGTGTCCACCCCTCCATCACAAACAAAAAATCTTTCTTCCCCAAATCCTTGAGTGAAAAGATGCTGAGGAAACATGTGCTATTTATCCAGTGGTGCAGCAATCCCTGGAGCTCTGGAGGCACAGCAGTTAAGAGCTCGGCTGCTAACCAAAAGGTCAGCAGTTCGAATCCAACCGCCACTCCTTGGAAACCCTGTGGGACAATTCTACTCCGTCCTATAGGGTCACTATGAGTCGGAGTCGGAATCCACTCAATGGCAACGAGTTTGGCCAGTAATCCCTTAGCACACTGCTAGGATCCAAGAACCTGTGCACATACTTAGTAGCTGGAGGATCTTGGGCAGATCTAACCTCCTAGCTTTAGTTTCCTCTTGCATAAAATGGGGATGCATAAAGTGTTACAGAATACACTGTCAAAATTAGTTTCCTTTTATCTACTTTAGTAAAAAAGTGTTACATTAGAAAAAAATCTGTGGTACCATATCATTGTGAAACTATAAAATACATTAGAAATAATTTAGAGGAGTCCCTTCTTTTTAGATATGATGAAGTCAAGTCCAAGCTTAGAAAGCAAGTGTAGCTTTATTAAGCAATTACTAATTTCATACCTTCAACTCCTCAGCAAGTTTATAAGACTAGGAGATGTGGTTAAGCTCTAAACCCATTCCCATCAAGTTGATTCCAACTCATAGAGACCATACAGGACAGAGCAGAACTGCCCCATAGGGTTTCCAAGGAGCAGCTGGTGGATTCGAACTGTCCATCTTTTGGCTGCTAACCAAAATGACGGCAGCTGTAGCTCTTAACTACTGTGCCACCAGGGCTACTAAGCTCTACTAATTGTTATTAATTTCCAAACTATTAGCAGAGCTTATTCTGCCAGAACATCATAAATTAGTAGTGCCTATATCTGTCTACCTCATTCTGTTTCATTTTAACAGGAAGTGTTAAGCAATAAGCAAATCTCCACTGAGAAGTTCTCAAGTAGTTTTCAAGAAACGCAACTCAATAGTTGTTATATTACAAAATACTGGAAAATTCCATAATTTTTCAAAGCAAAAAACATCGAAGGGAAGAATAAAGCAGACCTATCTGGACTACATTCAAATATCCCAACGGCAACTGGAAGTATGAGGCTGTCATCTTCAACTTGGGACAAAACATATTCTACCCTCTTTGGGATGACTACCTTTGGGATTGCTTTCTTGCCTGATGGAATGCATGTCAGGCAACTTTGACATTCTTAGGTCATGTGAAATTTGGAGACTGGAACAGTTACAGGATATACTGAAAGACATTTGTCACCATTTGCATATCACCTATTCTGTAATACGGAAGTCTTATTCTAAGCATTATTTATAATGAAACTCTTGCTGTTAGCTGCCATCCAGTTGGCTCTCACTCACGGCGTCCTTATGTATAACAGAACATTGCCCTAGACTGCTTCATCTTCATGATCTTTGATATGTTTGAGCCCATTAGAATTCTTACACTGCTTTAAAACAGCATTACTGTCTATGCACAGATAACTCAGGTGATTACCTTTAGATTATTATTAGTTATTTTCTTAATATTCTAAGGAAAAAACATAACTTTTCCCTAAAAAGCTTTCCCAGGTCCTAAAAATTCTAGGATTCTAAATTATTCTCCAATTCTTTAGGACACACAAAATTTTTAGCAACCACCTTCAAAACAGCTATGCTTATCTTACTCTCTACATAGTAAAAAAAAAAGTCTCCAAGATGCACTCCTTGTGATTTTAACAAAATTTCTCCCAAATTCTATTTTGCAACTAATTGAACAGCAAGGATCTATATAGTTTAATTTCCTTAAAACAGACTGAAACAACCTCTGGGGAAAAAAGTAAGAAAAAAAAAAAAAGAAAACCAGAACACTAAAACTAGCAGTTCATTTCCTACAGCTCTCAGCAAGTTTTCAAGGTAGGTACACTAGATCGCCCGGTGGTTAAGCAAAGCCCTTCTGGAGTCAGATCTGGTGCAAACCCTTGGGCAAGTCACTTCATTTCTCTGAGACTGACCTCCCCCACTTGTAAAATAGGGATGCTATCTCACAGGGCTGTTGTAACAAGAAGAGGAATTGTTGTATGTAAAGTGCTATTTAGCTCACAAAAGGCAGTTAAATGTTATCTTTTATTGCTTGGTTTTCTAGGAAATTAGTTTTTAAATATAATGACACAGTCATATATCATATGATAAATTATATAAACATAAAGCCTAATCTAATATACAGACAGATGTATCTGAAGACCTCGACAGACAGTGTTCCGGTAAAATTAACGCCTTCCCTCCTGGGCGCCCGCTTCTCCCGCCCCGCCTTGCAGGTTTCGGCTACCCTCATTTTTCACCCCCGCCCTCCTTCACACCCTCTACTGCTGCTCTCCCAACTTCACTCTCTTCACCCTTAACACCAAAGCTTGCCTTTCCCTGTTCCAAACCCACCTGCTTAGTTTTCGTTCCTTTTCCCTCACCTCCCTGTTTACCCCTCGGCCCATTACTTCCCTGCCTCTCAGGGTCCCTTCGCGGACGTCCCCGCCAGCATCCCAGAGAATGTGGGGGGGGGGGGGAGGGTGATCTCACCATCTCAATTTCCAAAGCTTCCAGTGGACTAGGGGGGAGAGGCATTTCTCTCCAGAACGCGGGACGCGCTAGCCTCACACTCACCCGCCGTCGCCGATGCCGCAGCCGTCGCCGCTCGTTCCGCGCACTCGGAACCCGATGCTGGCGGAACCCAGCGCCGGCGGGCACTGGGGACAAGGAGGACCGAGACGGGGGGGGGGCGGGGAGGACCAATGCCTGACAGGCAGAGGTCTTCGTAACGCGCCTGCGCAGTAGCGGGCCTCCGCGCTGCGGTTAACTGCCGGAGCCTGCGGACGATTGCGCGCCTGAGAGCGCTCCGGAGTATGCGCAGCTGCGGGGTGCGCGACTGCAGCGCAAAAGGGCTGGGATCGCTCCGGCGGCTGTGTCTGAGACGCGTCCTCAGATTGGATGCCGCGACCAGCCTTGATGTGACTCACTTTCTGATTGGTTAGATTCCAGTACCACTGGGCGACAGGTGGCTTGGCTGAGTCAAATTACAAACGTGTTGCCTTTGAGTCGATGCAGACAGAGTAGAACTGCTCCATAGGGTTTCCAAGGAACAGCTGTTGGATTTGAACTGCTGACCTTTTGGTTAGCTGCCGAAGAAAAAAAGTTCCTTCCTCTGTCACCATGCCTCTTACCATCATAGGGCTAGGTGCCCTTCCGGTGACCTGGAACCAAGAGAGTCCTCGGAAGGCCTGGGGCAATTGCTAAACCCAAGGCCTACTGCCACTCCCAGTGGCTAATGTGCACCAGACGGCTTAGATGGCTGCGGGAAAAACGACTTTGGCTGCTTCAGGGGCCAGCACAAATCTAGGGGCGCTTCAGCAAAGTCCAGTGAGTTGAGGTAAATGTCCAGTGGTTGTAGCAAATCAGCGTCTGTCTTACTGGAGAGATAGGAATTGAACACCTTTACCTTATACGCAAAGTGGAGCCCTGGTGGTGAAGTGGTTAAGAGCTTGACTACTAACCAAAAGGTTCGCAGTTCAAATCCACCAGCTGCTCCTTGGAAACCCTATGGGACAGTTCTACTCTATCCTATAGGATCCCTATGAGTCGGAATCGACTTGACAGCAACGGGTTTAGTTTGGGTTTGACAGCAAAGTTAGGTACTAGGCAGTTTAGTGGTAAGGTTACAAGAAACACAGCTCCTGCAGTCGAGAACCAGTAATGGGTACCAGCTGAGAAGTAGGCACTTCTTTTGACAGATATGCATGTGAGATTGTGCTCCTGCATTTAACTGGAAAGTTAGTCAAACAGTCGAATGTGAATTTAAACTTACTAGCAGAAAGAGAAATCACCAGACAGAAGTAGATTTATAATTAACCATCGGGCCACACAAGCATATATTTGGTAAGGAGAGAATAATGTCTTTTTTTGTACCTGCAGTGTCTAACACAGAACCTGGATTAGAGTAAGTACTCAACTAGTTGCTATGGAGTTCATTCCATGACTTATGGTGACCCTATGTTTTCCAGAATAGACCTGCACTCCGTAGGGTTTTCATGACTGTGACCTTTTTGGAAACATCACCAGGCCTTTCTTCTGAGGTGCCTCTGCGTTCGTTGGAACCTCCAACCTTTCAATTAGTAGTCAAGTGCAAACTGTTTGTGCCACCCAGACTCCAAAGTAAGAACTAACTGATTGTTGAATTTAATGAAACTTTTTAAGAAGCCTCAGGTTTACATCTATTAATAGCTGAGGATATTACATTTGACTGGTATTTTTCATTCATTTAATGTGTACTTTTTTGAGCAGCTGCTAGAAAGACAGTGGTGAACAAGAAGGAAAATATCCTCTTGAAGTTTGCATTTTAACAGGGGAGACAATGAACAAGTTAACAGTGTCAGATTGTGATATGTACTATGGGAAAAAAAAAAGTCACAACTAAGTTGATTCTATAACCTATAATCGATTACAAACCACAGTTGGGAAAACACTGCACTAGAAAACTAAAAAAGGACACATTGATGAGCTGTCATAGCCTGTGTACCAAGAACATACCCCTTCCCCTCCAAGTGTTTTTTGAGAGAAGCAAGTATAGATTGGAATTCGTGTTTATGCTGGAACAGTGCTTTTGGCCTGGATCCCACTGGGCAAGGTTTTTCTATGCTTTATTCTTTCCTCAAGTCAGAAATTTGTCATCTTGGTATCTTCTTTTCCATCATTCCTCAAATTCAATCCAGCTACCAATTTCTGTCAATTATATGTACAAAATATCTCATTACTTGCCATTCTGCCAGAAACTACCATAAATTTTTTTATTGCGAAAACAATTTTGATGGAAATAATTCTAGCCTAATACTACCACTAGTACAGTATCTGGGTTAGTATCCTGCAGTGATGGACCCTAGAAGTCAAGGTCTGAGGTTGATCTGCCTGATCTGAGCTTTTAGAGTACAAACATTACTAAGACCCCCAAGTCTGGAAGCAGCTGTGGAGACAATTTGAGGCTGGATGTATTCTATTGATAATTAGTTTGTGCCTTGATAAATTAATCCAGTTTCAAGCCTCAGGGTTGCCCCCGTGTTCTGGTGAATTTGAGGCATCTAGATAGCGGACTGTCAGAACTGGAAGGCATGGTAGAGACCATGAATTTCAGTCCCTAGAATCTGCCACACTTGAGTTTGAATACTTGCACTGCCTCTTGTTAATCGAGCCATCTTGGGCCAGTGTCTCAATCTATTTGAACCTCTGTTTTCTCAGCTGCAAAATGAGCCTCCTTATAGAATCAGGCTCTTAGAGTTACTATCTAAAGAAATGAGATAAAGCAAGTAAAGTACTCAGCACAGTATCTAACACATGGTAAGTGTTAGTGATTATTATCACTATGACCAGGCAATGTTCCCCAATTTGAACAATAGTCAGGAGAAGGCCAAGTTCCAGGGAAATTGATATAATGTCTAATTTAGTGGAACTTAAATTTTCTGGTATTTGGGGCATATAATTATGGATAACCTGTTTGTCTAGTCACCAGGTACATGATGGCTTAAAGAGTAGACAAAATTGACTACCATATAGGTCAGATGTGTAGTGGACTGTGTATGTGCCTGGTGCTATCAGGGAGTCCCATGTAGTCTGGTCTCCTCTAAGATAATATGGCTGGGAACAGATGAACAAAGTGACACATAAGGAACTTTTGGTGCCAAACTTTTGTTGTCCTCTATATATTTACTAGTTCAGCCACAATTGAAAACCTGTTTCAAATGGGCTTTAATAATAAAGATATTCATCGTCTCCTGGAACAGGAAGTTCAGAAGTAGGACAGGCTTCAGCACTGGATGAATTAGCAGGTCAACAATGTCATAATGTACTGGATTCTTTCTGACTCTCCAGTCAGCTATTAACCGTGTTCACTTCTTCTTCCTGTAGTGGTCAGATTGACTATCAGTAGCCACAGGAACCCTATGATTTATTTTTCCATTGGGAAATAGAAGTGGCTTCCAGGTTTTCTTTCTTGGGGAAGCCTCCCGCACCCATCTCCTTCAATCACTTTGGGTAGAACTGTGTTGCTTGCCTAAAGCAGTGGACCAATTCAGTTTCCACCTTAAGCTGAGGTCTCTGTCCCAAATTCCACTTCTTTTCTCGATGGACGTGAGGTGGAATGGATGCTGGAAAATCCACCACAAAGTCCACTGTAACTTTGTCCTAGGAATTTAATGATAATAAAAGAAAACATAATATAAACTCCTCACTTCCAATATATTTTTAGATATAAATATTGTTTTATTTAGTTAGGCTAAATAGTAACATTCATTTATAGTGTTCTCTCACCTTAGTTTTTGAAAAAAGAATTTTATTTAAATCTTAGAAGCGTAGAGAACTTTTAAACCCATTTTTCGTTAGAGATTGAAATAAATTAGAGGTAATAATATAAACCTGTCATTTACAAAGGAATGTTGTGCTCCAGAGAGAAATAACTTGGCTAAATTCACAAAAACTAATTACAACTAGAGTTTTTGCCTTCATGGGCAATATTAGAAGTGGAAGCGGTATGTCAGCGGGAGTTTCTCTTTTTCCATATCAAGACTTAGTATGTATTGATTAGCATAAAATGTTTTTAAAATCTTATCCTGTTTTTAAAATCAAAGACATAGCTCTTTATGCAATTATTTCTCTTTTAAACTCCTAATTGTGATACATAACTCATTGCTGGCAGGAAGGCATCAGAAGTTAGATGTTAACATGAAAAAGATTTCAGAGCAAAAGCCGCACACTGCCCAAAGAAAAACAATTCCTGTCTGCTGCTCAGCCCTGATTAAACAACAAAAATGCAAGTATGGAGTTAAATTTCAAATTGCTAGAACAGTATTTTAAGTTTCACTTTTAAATATATATCAAATGTTTAAAAAAAAAGTATAGGTTTATTATCTTAAATCTGAGGAAGGAAAAAGGATCTTATAAGTCATAGAACTTCAGTGATTTCAAAAGTTTATTTAACCAAAACGTACCACCCACCCCATTTTTTTCAGCAAGATTACATTTAAACCCCTTCAGGAGCAAGGGAGAATGAAGAAAACAAGATACAAAGGAAAGATTAGTCCAAAGAACTAATGGACCACAATTACCATGGCCTCCACCAGACTGAGTCCAGTACAACTTAGATGGTGCCCAGCTACCACCACTGACTACTCTGACAGGGATCACAACAGAGGGTCCCGGAGAGAGCTGGAGAAAAATGTAGAACAAAATTCTATAACTCAAAAAAAAAAAAAAAAAAAGACCAGTCTTACTGGTCTGACAGAGACTGGAGAAACCCTGAGAGCATAGCCCCCAGATACACTTACAGCTCAGAATGAAGTCACTCCTGAGGTTCGCCTTTCAGCCAAAGATTAGACAGGTGCATAAAACAGAACAAGACTAATGGGGCACAACAGCCCAGGGACAAGGACTAGAAGGCAGGAGGGGACAGGAAAGCTGGTAATAGGGAACCCAAGGTCGAGAAGGGAGAATGTGGGGCTGTTCACCAATGTCATAAAACAATATGTTTACTATTTAATGAGAAACTATTTGTTCCATAAACCTGCATCTAAAGTACAATAAAAATATTAAAAAAGAAAAAGATTACATTTGATTAATCTCAACTAAATAAGATTATAAACCATTTTTAAATATTCCTCTTCCGGGTATTATCTATC